CACGCACACACACACACACACACACACACACACACACACACACACACACACACACGCGCGCGCGCGCGCGCGCGCGCGCGCGCAACAACAACTCACCAGCAGCTGCTTCTTGACAAACTCGTACGATACAAAATAAAATGGAGATCCAACAAGACCTGAGCGATTACGGCACCGAGTGCATGCACGCAAAGGAGCATGAGATGATGAAGATGATGATGACGATGATGATGATGATGATGATGATGATGATGCAATTCACAGCGATGCAAAACACAATGGTGCGAACACAGGGCATGGTTCATGGTGTCGAGTGCACTGGTGGTAGCACAACCGCAGGATCACCAGCAGTGCAGCACCAGCACACACGTACGTGTGAGGACGGTGATTCTGTATCCTGCAAAGATGCCCTTGATGCCATCATGCGCGATGGTCTGACGAATAACATCAAAAGGACCGCTGTACTGCCGCTTGGCTCCAAACCGCTGCACCTGCGGAGATCAACACGTGAACACGTGTGTAGATGAGGCAGCAAGAATCGCAAGAGTCGTAAGTGAGACAAACGCATGAGCGAGCGAGAAGGCGATGACAAGACCAGCGCAGCTGAAAGCACACACACGACTGCTGGAAAGTTTTGCACAGGCTCGTTGTGCGCGCGCACACGCACACACTCACTGACTCACGCACACGCACGCACATACACACTCACACACACTGACTCACACACGCACACACACGCACACACATACACACACTCTCTCTCACTGACTCACACACACTCACACACACACTGACTCAAACACACACACACACACATACACACACACACACAAATCATGCACCTGGAGGCGGCACTTGATCATTTCGACGGGCGCAAGGATGGTGCAGTAGACGGGAGCAGTCATGACGGCAGCAAGAACCACTTGCGGCATGGAAAGCGCGTCGGGTCTGGTGTCGAAAGCGGTCGCCACCACACGCTTCATAAAGCCGTTGGTGCCGAAGAGGGCGGCGTTCAACGCACCGGACATGACGATGGGCGGACCAACGCCCTTGTAGAAGCCTCGCAGGCCCTGGAGGAACGTGATGCGTGATGGGTACCGTTGGGAGAATATGGTCGAACGAGCGAGGGTGAGAGAGGGGCGAGGAGGAGCGACATCAAAACACATAACACACATGCAAGAACCGCCACAAGTACCACAAGTGTTCTCATAGGTCAGGTCACATGCACGCACCTCTTTCTGTGCCGTCTCTGACATGCAGTGCCATACGCCACGATAGTAGCTGCTACTTTGCATGCGGACCTGCGGGCACATGGGGGGGGGGGAGACATGACGAATGAGAGGTGCATGTGTGTGTATGCGCGCAATGGTGTGTGTGTGTGTGTGTGTGTGTGTGTGTGTGTGTGTGTGCGTGAGTGTGGATAATCGATGAGCAATGACATCACCACCACAATCTCACGATCATCGCCATCACACACACACACACTCGCACATAAACACACACACACACACACACACACACACTCGAACATAAACACACACATACAAATACACTCACATACCATCACACACACCATCACACACACCATCACACACACCATCACACACACACACACACCATCACACACCTTCACAGTGTCGAGGGGGTGACCCACAAGGACCTGCAAGATGCCACCGACGGTGCCGCCCAACAGCTCTGCCGCAAGGCGACCTCCCTTGTCCCCATGGTTGGCCGTTGCGGCCTTTTTCCCATCATCACCCTCCTCCATGCTTATTCTCTCAACCATCTTCCTTCTTGTGAGTGTGAGCTTCTGATCTGATCTGACAGCTTTGCTTCTTCTGCTTCTGATGGCAGCGCACACGTGTGTATGTGCCGTTATTGGAAGCGTTGCGGCGCGTTGTTGTGTGCGATCCATTCAAGGCGCGTTGTTGTCTTTTGTGGTTTGCTTTCATATCATCTGAGTCAGCATTTATTTTCAACGGCCAATATCCAAACACCAAAGACAACAACAGCACAGGCGCACGCGACAACAGAACAGACACGCGACAAGAAACACACGCGACACAGCCTTTGCTCTCTCTCGCTCTCTCTCACGGTCACCGTGTCTTCACCCTTTCCCGTGCCTCCCTTCCCACCACACCCACACACGTGCACACATACCACCAAGAGCAGCGGTAACAATGTCTTCCATCTGGGCCAAGGCCAAGCAGCAGTGGACGTGCACCACGTGCTACTCTGGGAACCCACTGGACGTGAACAAGTGCCGCGCGTGCGAGGCTGCTCGGCCAGGGACAGCCGCAGCAGATGCCACGAAGAAGCCAGCCTCCGCCACCACAGGCGCGGACGCTGCCGGTGACAACAAGAAGCCTGCGTTCAAGTTTGGCGCAAGCACCAAGGCCGGTGATGGCAAAGACGCTACCACCAAGGACGCCAGCAACAACAGCACCGCCACGACGAGCGGCAAGCCAGCCACCACTGGCGGATCCTCCATCTGGGCCAAGGCCAAGCAGCAGTGGACATGCTCTGCATGCTACTCTGGAAACCCACTGGACGTGGACAAGTGCCGTGCCTGCGAGGCCGCGCGGCCTGGTACCTCTGGTGTGAAGGAGGCAGCATCTGCCGATGCAAGTGCTGGTGAGACCGCTGCCAAGCCCGCATTCAAGTTTGGTGCCAGCACGAGCAGCACCGCAGGTACGGCTGCGCCTTCCAGCGGGTTCAAGTTTGGCGCCAGCAAGTCATCATCTACAACGACCCCCGCAACCACTGGCGGCTTTAAGTTTGGCGCCTCTTCATCCACAGCAACCACCAAGCCCGCTTCCGGTGCGTTCCAGTGTCCGTCTGTGTAGGTGTGCGGGCGTTCATGTGTGTGTGTGTGTGTGTGTGTGTAGATGTGTGTGTGTGAGTGTGTGTGTAGATGTGTGTGAGTGTGTGCAGATGTGTGTGTGTGTGTGTAGATGTGTGTCTGTTCCTGTGTCTGTGTGAGCATTGCTTTGCTGCTTGATCGTGAAGCTGCTTCTTCCCCGCGCACTCCTTCATGGCTGCTGTGACCCATTTCTGCTCACTTGCGGGGTATTGCTGTGATGTTGGTGGCCAGGCGGGTTCAAGTTTGGAGCAAGCACGAGCACCTCCAAGCCGGCAGCGACGGGCGGCTTCAAGTTTGGAGCCGCAACAGCCAAGGACGAGGAGAAGAAGGGAGAGGACGGACAGGAAGAAGACAAGGAAGAAGACAAGGAGGAAGACAAGGGGGAGGAGAAGGAGGAAGACAAGAAGGAAGACAAGGAGGAGGAGAAGGAGGAAGACAAGAAGCCTGCCACGCGTGCAACCCGCCGCACGACGCGCAGCGCCAAGAAGAAGGCTGAGGAGGAAGGCAGTGCCGAGGACGGTGATGCTGATGCTGATGCTGATGCTGACGAGAACCAGCCCAAGAAGCGGGCAAAGCGCACGTGAGACACGCGACTGCTGCTGCTGCTGCTGCTGCTGCTGCTGCTGCTGCATCTTCCTTCTCCTTCTTCTTCTTTTTCCTCTTTTCTGTTCGTGTGGGCACAGCCACGCGATGGGTTGTTGGTTGTGTAGTGGGGGGGGATGATAAGTGACGAGAGGGGGCGCGGTTGTTGGGGGATGCGATCTGGTGGGCGATGAGGGTGGTAGCTGACTCTGATGATGGGCTGTGTGCTCCCGTGCTTTGACCGCACACATCAACCAGTAAACAAGACGAACAACACACACGCGCGCGCGCGGAATTTGATGCATCCATGGTTTGCGCCATTAGCAACTGTGGTGATGATGGGCGAAACTGCAAGCTTTAATCAGGACGCACAGGCAAACCACCACACTACACAGACATGCGTGTGCACAAACCACACGTGTACACGAACACATGCGCACACTTACGCACACACGTGGACGAACAATGGCACAAACGACACAGGACGCACAGGACGACTAAGATAGAGCGAGAGGGGGGAGAGAGGAGGGGGCTGTTGGATTGGGTGTGGAGAGTGTGCACTCAGTTCTTGGAGAGAATGAATGAGAGGAAGAGAATACAGTGGAGGATTGAGACTGAAGCTGCCGTGTCGACAGGTTCATCATGGCTGATAGAGGAAGAGGGTGTTTGAAGGAGAGGGAGAGGCAAGAGGGGGATTGGGAGGGGAGCGAAGAGCGCCCCCGGGGGGGGGTGCACAGCTCAGGAGCGCTGCGGGGCGGGGGCCATGCCGGGGACGGCGCCCATCTGGGACGATGGCGCACCGCCAGTCAACTGCAGCATACATGGGCGGCGTTGGGGAAGGGGTGTTCAAGGGTGAGCTGCGGTGAAGCGAGGGGGGAGGAAGGTGTGTGTGTGTGTGTGTGTGCATGTGTGTGTGTATGTGTGTGTGCATGTGTGTGTGTGTGTGTGTGTGTGTGTGTGTGTGTGTGTGTGTGTGTGTGTGTGTGTGTGTGTGTGTGTGTTTTGGGAACGGCTGCAACATGTGTTGTTGTTGGTGTTGTTGTTGAAGGACGCACCATCTGTTGGTGTTGCATGCGGATGCTCTCCGCCTGCTGTGCCTGCATTTGCTCCTGTGGAGAAGGAAACAATCATGTCAGAACAGAAGACACGTGAGAAGCAAGCCGAAAACGATGCTGAGAGGTCCATGATCACACGTTGAGGTGCACGCATGCAAGTAACCAAGCAAACGGGTGGCCAGCAAAGACTTGCACGCACAACCCCCTGAACGTATCAAGCACCCGCACAAAACGCAAACACACACACACACGCACAAAACGCAAACACACACACGCATGGAGAGAGAGAGACACACACACACACAGACACACACACAGAGACACACACAGAGACACACACAGACACACACACACACAGACACACACACACGCACATACATACACACACACGCTCACACTGACCTGATCAGACTCGTACTGGGGGATGAGACCGAGGACAAGTGCCGAGGAAGCAAGAATCCAAAGGAGCTTGCCGCCGTAAGTGTATGCGTTCGACACCTGCGCCACAACAACGCAGCATGGTTGGTGCGGTGAGTGAACATTGAAAGTGAAAGGTGGAAGGGTGGATTGGCAGCAGATACAAGAACGCACCACTGGGAGCACACAGCACACCACTGGGAGCACACATCTGGGAGCAAACAATGCACAACACCTAGCACGCAACAAACAACAGAGCATGCAGCACAGTACGCACGGTCCAAGCGGTGGTGGAGGCGGCGGAAGAGACCATCTTGCGCACGGGCTCTGGGAACATCTCCTGCAGCGCGGCGACGCGCTCAGCGAACGTCTCGTCCTCAAACTGCTCAGCCATGGTGCTCTTGTGGTGGTGTATGTATCTTTGTGTCGCTACAACACGAGGAGGAACAGGAAAAGGTCGAAAGAAACAGTGGACAGGTGTGTGCGTGAATGTGTGTGAATGAGTGTGTGCGTGAATGTGTGCGTGAATGTGTGCGTGTGTGAGAGTGTGGCAAATATCTCGGCACACGCACACACGCGCAAATGCGCACACGCGCGTACAACAATGAGTACAATAAAGAGCAACACCAACGGCGGCACCACCAACAACAACATGGGCATCATCATAGCCACCATCATATCGCCCTGCAGCAAACCCACGTGATGCTCCTTCCTTCCTCGCTTGCTCTTCTTGTCTTGTGCTCTTTTTGGGTGTTGCTCGTTCTTGCCAATGATGACGATTGGTTGATATCTTTTACAATTAATCGACAGATTTTACCACATCTGGCATAACGTGATTTGCCTTTGTGAAGTGGCTTGCGGTTCACTCTCCTCTGTACACGACCACGTTCTTGTCTGTCTCGTGCACCTTGACCTGTGCAAGTGTGCATGTGTGTGTGTGTGCATGTAAGAAAGTAGAAGCGGCTCGCATTCAGTGGAGAAGTGCAGCCAAAATCAGACAAGTTGCGACACACACACACACACACACACACACCTCGTGCAGTTGTGCGTTGTCCGGGAGCATCTCCTGCAGCTGGTCCCAAATGAACACGGCCACGTTCTCCGTCGTGCTGGCAGCAGATGAAAAAGAAGGCAACAGATGCAGTGGATGCGGGACTTGAGGCAAGGGCGTCACGGGCGAGGATGGTTGGAAGGGAAGCTGCAAGCACCACGCACATGCAAGCACACACATACACAAGTACCCAAACACACACACACACAGGTTATCCAAACACACACACACAGGTTATCCAAACACACACACACACATGCGCACACATCACACACACACACACACACACAAACATGCGCACACATCACACGGCAGCTCACCTGACGACGTGCTTAAAGTAGGGCACATCCAAGTCCAGGTGTTTGTGGTCCATCGTGTCCATGATGGCTTTCTGTAGGTACAGGCAAACATCCCATTCGGGTTGTGCCACAGCAACGAGAGACGCAAGGTACAGCATAGCACAGCAATGAATGCATCGCTGTGCTGATTGGCAAGTGCTCCATGTCGCAAACAGCACACGCGCACACACACCTTCATGTATTGCTTGAGATCCACGAGGTTGATGACCATGCCCGTCTTAGGATCAACACTTCCGCGCAACGTTACCTCCACTGCCAGTTGTGTGCGTGTGTACGTGTATGTGTGAGTGTGTGTGTGAGTAAGTGCTTGAGTGCATGCAAACATGACTGCATTTGTCTGTATACAAACATGACTGCATTTGTCGGTATGCAAACATGACTGCATTTATGTGGAAGCTCATGCATACAAGTACCTTCCTTCCCTCCCCTCCCCCCTCCCTTCCTCAGACACGCATGCACATGGTAACCATACCTTTGTAGTTGTGGCCATGGCCGTTTGGGTTGTTGCATTTGCCAAAGATGCGCTTGTTCTCCTCATCGGAGAGGTGAATGGAGTGTAGGCGATGGCACGCCGAGAACGACTCCACCCGCGAAATGTAGCACACCGGGGCTCCACCTGTGAGTGAGGGAGAACAGAGCATCGTCAGCGTGATGGCGTGAGCAGTTGACGGTGTGGGCAGTTGACGGTGTGAGCAGTCACAGCAGTGGCAGATGCAAGAGCATTCGCAGTGAGAGCAGTGCAGCCATGCCGTGTCAGTGTCACTGTCAGTGTCAGTGTCAGTGTCACTGTCAGTGTCAGTGTCAGTGCCTTCTCTTTCTTCTTCACAACCACACATGCACACACACGTGCACACACACGTGCACATACACGTGCACACACACATGCACACACACACGCACACACACGTGCACACACACACACGCACACACATGCACACAACACACCACGTTTCGCCTGCTTTGCCTTTGGCTCTGTCATCATCATCGAGTGTTTGTCGCCTTTCTCCACTGTTTTGTTTTCTGCTGACTGTGCAAAATTCTGCGGCGCGATTTCCTCCTTTGGAAACCGCTGTCAACATTGACAGGGAATGTGTGAGTTTGTGCATTTTTGCGTTTTCTGCGAAGACGTACGCCAATCATCTCGTCAGGGTGGGCGGTGCCCGCTTTTCTGGTCTCGTGCATGCAGGCACAACAGCAATAACACAAAAACAACAAAAAAATAACCCCTTCCCCCTTTCCCTCAAGCGAGAGTGCCCGCACAACAACAACCTCTGGCTTCTTTTCCCACCCTTTTTTTTCCTGTGCTTCGTTGCTCTCTCGCTTCTTTCTTGTTGTTCTTCTTGTCGTGCCTCTCTCAGTCAGCCTTGTTGCTCTCTGCCTGTGCTCACTGCCATCATTACATTCTCCTGGCACTCTCTGCTTGTTTTGTTTTGCCACCGCATCGCTCCGACCGCCACTTGTCCACCACACCTCCTCGCCCTCTCCCTTCTCCCCCGCAGCTCAGCTTCCAACCCTCGGTAAGTTTTTGTCACCAGCAGCGTGTGTGTGTATGTGTGTGTGTGTATGTGTAGTGGCTGGTGGTCATGGAGGTGGGTGGTGGCTGTACATGGATGGATGGATGGCGTCGACGCTTTGTGTCGACTCGACAACGTCTTGCTTGCAAGCACAGCCAGCCAGCGTGTTGTTGTTCTGTTGTTTGCTTGTGCGTTGGCAGCCACCATGCCACCATGCCACCGCCCCCTTTTCTTGCCTTTGCGTGATGATGGGGAGCAAAGCGCGCGAGCCATCATCAAAGACAAAGCATTTGTTGCGTGCGAGCAAAAATACCTCAAGCAACAGCTCGTGCTCTCTTGCTTGCTTGCACGCACCACCACAACCACAATCATCTGCCACCCACTTGACCAGACACACACACACGACACCATCCACGTTGCTGCACGCACGAGCACAAGCATACTTGTGCCAGCACCCCACCTCAAGTTGTTTCTCTTGTCATCGCTCATTTTTTTTTCCTTTTGCATCGCACCACCTTCGTTGTCCTGCGTTCGTTCGTTTCATCCACGACCAAACCACAACAACAACAACACACCGCACAACAACAACACACACCGCTCCCCTTCCTCTCCGTTGTCTGAACCAACAGCCATGTCCAGCCCCAACGCTCTTGAGTGGACCCTCGGTCTCAAGAACCGTGCCACCGGCAAGTACCTCACCCAGGAGGCCTTTGGCAACGCCGTCAACGTCAACGGTGAGTCGCAACAAATATGAGAAAGGTGGCGGTGTGCTGTTTCTGAGCGCGACGTTGTGCGTGCGTTTGTGTCCTCTCCGTCACATACGCACGTACGCACGCACGCACTCTTCGCCGTCTCCCCTCTTGTCTCTCGCGCACACGCACACTCTCACCACAACGTTCTCTTCCACTCCACGTTGTCCCCCCCCCCCTCTCTCTCTCCTACACTTTGCAGGTGGCTCCCTGCGCCAGAAGCAGACATGGACCCTCATCTCTGCTGAGGATGGCAGCGTGCACCTGCGCTCGTACCTGGGCAAGTACCTGTACGGCGACAACGACGGCAACGTCAAGTGCGACGCCGAGTCCCCCTCCGCCGACACCCAGTGGACCATCCAGCCCCAGCCAGATGGCACATGGGCCCTCATCTCCGCCAAGAACTACTACTTCCACGGCACCGGCACCAACATCAGCGCCTTCCTCGAGGCCAAGGAGGGTGTTGCCGCGCCTGGCGACGGCCTTTGGGTGGTCCACCTCGCCATGCACCCGCAAATCAACCTGTACAACTCCATGCGCAAGCGCTACGTCCACCTCTCTGGCGACGAGCTCCACTGCGACGAGGACATCCCATGGGGCGACGATGCCCTGCTCAACCTCATCTTCTTCGACGACCACCCGGATGGCCGCTACGGCATCCAGTCGTGCAACGGCAAGTTCCTCGAGAACAGCGGCCGCCTCGTCGACCAGCCCAACGCCAACTGCCAGTTCCTCCTCGGCTTCCACGACAACCAGGTCTCCTTCCTCGACTCTGACGGCAGTAAGTTGTGAAAAGCGTGTGTGTTGCGTGCATGCGCGCGCGTGTGTGTGTGTGTGTGTGTGTTGCATGCATGCATTTGGAAACAAGTGTGCAGTGGAGCCGTGTTTTGCCTTTTCGCTTCACCCACCACACCTTTACTCGTGTCCACTCACCATCATCTTGCTTGTTTCAACACACACTCACACACACACACACGCACTCACTCACTCACACAACCACCCTTGCAGAGTTTCTGTCCTGCGTTGGCGGCTCTGGCGTGCTGAAGACCAACAAGCAGAAGGTGACCAAGGACGAGCTGTTTGTCATCCAGGACTCGCAGCCCCAGTTCATCATCACAGACAACCGCGGCAAGTTTGTCTCTGTGCGCAACGGCTTTGAGGTCAAGGCCGACCAGCGCGAGGTGACCGACTTTGAGCGTTTCCAGATGGAGATCACCTCCGAGGGCAACGTCTTCCTTCGCTCCAACAAGCTCAAGTACTGGACCGTTCGGCCAGACGGCACCATCGGCGCCGAGTCTGACTCGCCCAACGCCGACTGCACCTTCACCGTCGACGTGAGTGTGGCATGCGTGTGTGTGTGTGTGTGTGTGTGTGTGTTGAATTGGTTTGCTGAAGTTGCTTTGCACCCTTGCGTGGCATTTTGTGTGCTCCCAATGTGCCTCACCACTCACGGTCGTCTTCGCGCTCACCTTTCGCTGCTCCGCCTCGCATCGCTTCACAAATCCCCCCCCCCGGGGCGCAACCCCTGTCCCCAACAACAACAACAACAACAGTACTCTGCCGGCAACCGTGTGCGCTTCATTGCGCAGAACGGCAACCCGGTGTACGTGAAGCCCTCTGGTGCCCTCATGGCCAACGCTGGCGGCGACCCCGAGACCACCCTCTTCACCCTCACCATCATCAACCGCCCAACGCTCCTCCTCCGCGGCCAGTACGGCTTTGTTGCCCTCAAGGGCGCCTCGGGCCGTGTTGAGTGCAACCGCGCCACGGGCAACCTGTTTGTCCTGGAGAACAAGGACGGCTTCTACCACCTCAAGACACAGGACGGCAAGTACTGGGGTGTCGATGTTGACGGTGTCACCGCCAACAGCTCCGCCCCCACAGACTTTGTGTTTGAGTTTGTGCGCCCCACACACGCCCTCATCAAGCACGTGGAGTCGGGCAAGTACCTCCAGGGCCAGCAAAACGGCGGGTACGTCGCATCTTGTTCGCTTGTCGTGTGGTGTGGTGGTAACTTGTGTGCGTGCGTGTGTGTGTGCGTGTGCGTGCCTGTCTGTGCGTGTGCGTGTGCGTGCCTGTCTGTGTGTGTGTGTGTGCATGCGTGGAGAGCCAATTTGATTTAGTGTGCTTTGATCCAGTTCCCTACCTGCATGTTCTCCCCCTCCCCCTCCCCCCTCCCAACCACTCAAAACACTCACCTTGCTTCTCTCTTCTCCCCTCCCCCTCCCCTTCCGCCCTTTTCTTCGCAATCGCCTGTGCAGCTTCAAGGCCGAGGGTACCTCTGCTGGTGTCAACACTCTGTGGGAGTATTAAGCAGGGTGTCCCTCCCTGTTGTCGTTGTTCGTTTGTGCTTGTCGTCGCAACGCGTATGTCATTTTCTTCCTCCTTGTCGTGGGTTCTGGCCCTCTCTCTGTGTTCGTTGGTGGCTCACCCTTCACCGTCGCCCTCGCTTGCTTGCGTGAGTGTGTGCGTGGGCTGGAGGCGAAGCCTTGACTTGAGTCTTTTGAGTTATGGCCGTGTCGATTGTGGTTCGTGTATGTGGGTGGGTGTATCTGCTGGGGGTGTCTGTGTGTGTGTGTGTACGTAGTTGTTGTTGCTGCGTGTGAACGGGGACGCATGGTGGAATGGCCCCTTCTCGGACCCTTCACATGTGCTCGCCGCCACGTGTGGTCTTATGTTACACACCGCGATCGTCTTTGAGCTGAGTTGTTCTGTTTTTGCTGTTGGTTCGTGGGTGTGCCATCCTCCAGCCCTTCCAGTCCTCGCCTCTTCCTCTTCTTCTTCTTCTTCTTCTTCTTCTTCTTCTTCTGTGCTTTCTGGGTTGACCTCTTCCAAGCAACACCTTCCCCTTTCAACCGAACGAACGTGACAAGCGAAAGCGTGCCATCAACCGATCGAGCGGGGTGGAGTGTGACTGTTGTCGTCCGTCCTGTGGGCAGGAAAAAGCAAGAAAGAGCAACAAGCGGACAGCAAGGTCTTTTTTCGCTTGCAACAGTGAACACACGCACACACACAGAGAGAGCCACGCGGAGCAGGGGACAAGAAAGATGGGTGTGCGTGGGCTGACGAAGCTGATGCAGCAGCTGCTGCCGGTGGAGGCGTACCCGCTGCAAGGGCTTCGCATCATCGTGGACGCGTCCTCGCTCCTGTACTCGTTCCTGAACCCGCGCATGACGCTGCTGGGCGGCGAGCTGGCCACACTCTCGCGCTTCCTGCGCACCTTCTTCCACGCGCTCAACGCAAACGGGTGCTCCGGCATCGTGGTTGTGGATGGCGGCGTGGACGACTGGAAGCTCGCCACGCTCGAGGCCCGCCTCACGAGGAAGATCAGCACCATGAGCAAGGGCGAGATGTCGGTGCCCCGCCCCGCGCACGCCATCAACCTCGTCATCGAGACGGCCCGCGCCTCAAAGTGGGAGGTGCTCATCGCGGAGAAGGAGGCCGACGGTGCCATCCGCGCCGTCGCCGAGGCAAACCCATACCACTGGCACGTGGTACGTTGACGTGTGTTGTGGGTGTGGGTGTGGGGAGTTGGGGGGGGGGAGGTGTTGCTTGCGTGGGGGTGGTTTCCGCACACGCGAATACGCTTCGCCTCGTTCATGTGGGTTCGCACAGCACAGCACTGCACAGCACAGCACAAGACCGGACACATCTCCTTCAGTGCGCTTTCTCATACACCCTCACTCGTGATGTATTGCAGTTGTCATCGGACAGCGACTTCTACCTGTGCCGCGTGGCGAGCGTGATCCTGCCAGACACGATGCGCGCGCCATACACGAGTGCACATGCCATCACTCGACCACTGGACGCACTCTGCGCACGGCTGGAAGCGCCCTGGCCAACACTTCTCGTTGCAGCTTCCCTCGTGGGCTGCGACGCAAACAAGCACAAGTCCGTCCTCACAGGCGGCCAACGTGCCCTCGGTAATGTGTGTGTCTGTGTGTGTCTGTGTGTGTCTGTGTGTGTGTGTCTGTCTGTCTGTCTGTCTGTGTGTGTGTGAGTGTGTCTGTCTGTGTCTGTCTGTCTGCCTTTGTCTTGTGTGTGTCCGATCACTCCCTCTCTACCTGCACCCCCTTCCTCCTTGGTTGTACCGCTCTCCTTCTGCACACAAGCGCCCTCCCCCGGCCTGATCAACCTGCTTACTTTGTGCTGACCGGTCGCCACATCAGGCTTGAAGAATCGCGCCAACTTTGTTGCTGCGGTTGCGTTGCTGCGCGAGTTTGGCCAGCGTGTTCCACTGGGCACCAATGTGCTTGATTCAACCCACCACATTATCGCCGCCATCGGTCGCCGCCTCCCAAAGCTCAAGGACCTGCCGCCCGCCCTCACAGAGGTGCAGACACCAACTGTCTGTGTCTGTGTGTGTCTGTGTGTGTCTGTGTGTGTCTGTGTGTGTTTGTCTGCCTTTCTGCCTACGTGTCTGTTTACGTGTCGATTGTTCTATTCGCCCGATCGCATCGGCTTCCATCACACAGCCCTTTGCGCCGCGCTCATGCTCTCGCTCATCCGTATACAACTCTTTCTTCCCCTCTCTTCTCCGCCCCAACACACACACACACAACACGCATGCGTGCAGGGTGTTGAGTCGCTGGTTGGCACGTGCGGATATGTGTCGTCCTATCGCCGCTACACTCTGCCGCTGACGTCGCTGCTACCGCTCATGCTGTCGGGATGCGTGTGCGACCAGGCCGTCTCGGCCATTGACAGCGGCACACAGGCCATGTCCTGCAGACCAGAGGACACAGACCAGGTACAAACTCACTGTGCGAACGACCGCAGTCATGATGATCATGCTGATGCTCGTGACTGCCCCCAAGCTGCCCATGTTGCTCTCGTTATTGTCGTTTGTCCTCCATGTTGCCGCTGGTTGCAGTTGTGGCAACTCCGTCAGTTGTGCTAGCTGTTGTGATCTGATTCAACGCGTTCTCTGCTCGTTCCCTGCCTTTCACACACCCACATGCCCATCACCCCCTCTCACCTCTCGTCCTTCCCTCCCCTCATCTCACTTCCCTCCCCACCCCCTCCTCTTTCATCTGCCCCCCTCTTCCTCCTTCCTCATCTCCCTCTCTGTCACTCCCCCTCCCCCCAACCGTCCACCAGCCGTCCATCTGGCTTGCGTCGATGCACCTGCGCAACATCATCCACCGCCTGGCCATTGGCTCGCGCATGCGTGTGCCGGCGACCAGGACGGAGGTGCTGCGGCGTAACTGCCGTGTGGAGGTTGCCACGCGCGCTGACATGTCCCCACCAGCGCATCCGACACCGGAGGATATGCTCGCACTCGCGGTAGCACACGGGCGGGCGGGGCAGGTCACCAACGGTGGCGATGGTGGCGATGGTGGTGCTGGTGGTGAGCAGGCAGCGCAGCCGGACAAAGAGAAGGAGAAGGAGGTGCACGTTGGTGGTGAGGGTGAAGGTGAGGGTGAGGGTGAGGGTGAAGCGAGGGAAGTGCAGCAGGGCTTGCTGACGACGCTAGCGGTGGCCATGTGCGCGGGCGCATACAACCCGCACACGGGACGCATCACAGGCGACGTGTCACGCATCGTGCACCACCTCCTCCAGTTGCCGTACACGCAGTGGCACTCTGTTGCCTGTACGCTGGCGTGGCTGTCCGCGAGCGTGGTTGCGCCGTCGCACCACAGCTACAGCACGATGCTGTTTGCCTCGCGTGCCCTCATCTTCTGCATGTGCGCGCGGCTGGACGGCGTGCAGATGCAGGACGTGCTGGCGGCGATGGCACCAACACCACCACACCAGCAGCACACGGCGACGCAGCAGATGCAGCACCAACAGGGGCAACATGGCAGTGTCAGTGGCAGTGGTGATGGTGATGGTGTTGGTGTTGGCGGTGGCGAGGGTTCAGGTGGCCTGAGCCGCCGCCACCGCCTTGCTGTGACACATGTGTTCACTGCGTTCTACACGGGGCTGGGCCAGGTGTCCTTGCTCATGCGCATGCTTGGCCTGGGCAGCAATGTGCTCATGCCACCGAGCAAGGTCGTGGTGGACGCATCCCAGGTGGCTGCTGTTGTTGGCCACCACCACCGTACGGGCGCTGCGCTGCCGGCCGACCTGCTCACCACCCACCAGCGCGTCTTCCGCTCACTCGACGCCCTCATCTCAGCCTGTCGCCCATGATGCGTTGTGCGTGCGTGTGTGCGTGTGTGTGTGTGTGTGTGTGTGTGTGTGTGTGTGTGTGTGTGTGTGTGTGTGTGTGTGTGTGTGTGTGTGTGTGTGTGTGTGTGTGTGTGTGTGTGTGTGTGTGTGGGACAAGGTGGACACACGTTGCGATGCTTCTTGTTGCTGTCTCAGTGTGCTTGTTCACGCCTGTGTGCTTGTTCTCGCTCTTTTCAGATGATGATGTGTTTATATTTTGAAGTTGGGGGTTGAGGGCAGGTGTTTGGTTGGTTGTTTGTTAAACACACAGCATGCATGCGTCCTCACATCATGCATAAACGGTGGGTCACACACTCAAGTTACCACACGTGAAAAATGAGGAAACAAAAAGGAAACAAACACATTGGAGTGAACGACGGTGAACGAGGTTCAAACGCGCCACACACACAATCAGAAAGGACACATGACGAGGAAGATGGCGAACGGCGGCCGGCGGAGAGGCAGCGCGTGCGCTTATGCGTACTTCTTGAACATGGCCTCGAGCTTCTCTGCGCTGGCGCCCATGAGCTCGTCAATCTGCTTGCCGGCCTTGTACACCTTGAAGGTGGGCATGGCGCGGATCTGCGCCTCACCAGCGGCGTCCGAGTTCTCGTCGACGTCAACCTTGAAGCACTTGATGGTGCCGTACTGGCCGGCGAGCTTCTGCTCAACAGAACAATGGCGAAGGAAAGGGGCGGGGGAAGGTGGGGGCGAGGGGCGTTGGGAGATGGAGGTGAGTTACGAGCAATGAGAGCAAGCAAAGGTGGGAATGAAGACGAGCAAGGCAGAGAGAAGAGGAAGGAAGGAGGGGAAAGAGGGAAGAGCAAGAGGGAGAGGGAAGGGGTGATGCAGGAAGGTTGAAATGATGCAAACAGGCAAACAAGAAAGCAAACAAGCAAACTAAGCAAACAAGAACGCAAACAAGCAAACAAGCAAACAAGAAGGCAAACAAACAGAACAATCAGGCATGCGCGTACACACTAGGTGGTTGACGAACCTCAAAGACGGGGCCAATCATACGGCAGGGGCCGCACCAGGACGCGGTAAAGTCGATGATGACGACAGAGTCCTCGGCAATGGCCTTCTTGAAATCGTCAAGGGTCTTCAGGTAGGCAGGCATCTTGGCGTTTGTTGTGTGTGTGTTTGATTGACTGGGTTCGTTGGTATCTGTGTGTGTGTGTGTGTGTATGCGTATCAATAGGTTATCAAAGGGGTGAGTGTGCGTGGAAGCAAGTTGTCGGCGTGATGGCTGTGCAGCAATGTGGTAGCTTGCTGTGGTCTCAGTGATGGCAAAAGATAAATGAACATGTCATCGCCCTTGTCAACAAACACCAAGGAAGGAAAGGCGGGGGACGCGAACGAAACAGAAAGCGTAGACACGCAAAGGCAATCCAAAATACAGAAGCAACCCAAGACGGCTGCCAACGCAATCATCTCGCATCAAGCAAGGCGAGGAGGGGCGTGACCCGAACGCCAACACAGCAATGGCATGATGACACATGACAAGAGCAGGCGAGGAAAAGCGCAAGCGCGGGATGTGTCGGTGTGTGCGTGTGTGTGTGTGCGTGTGTGTGGGTGTGTGTGTGACACCAGCCAGCTGGTGACGATGGCATCATCATCATCATCCCCAAAAATACACACACGAACGCAACACGGAAGGTGCGCGGAGAGGCTGGAAGGCACCAGACAAGACTGGTCGACAAGAAGACAACAAAGGAGGAGGAACCATGGAACCATGGACAGTGCCAAAAACAGAATGCAAGAAAAGAAGCAAAGGAAGTGGTGTGCGCAGACACACATAGCCCCACAGCCACCCACAAATACACACACTCCGCTGCTCTGCCTCTTGTTTCGCCGACTGACCCGTCTTCCCGCACACATATCCACACACAAACACACACACACAGGCAGGAGACGTACCAGTGTGATGATGATGACGGAGAGAATGAACGATTGCGTGACGGCTGCAAGCAAGAAAACAGAAGAAGTAACAGAGGGCTGAAAAAAACAAACCAATGCAGTTTTTTTAATTGTGATGGGTGGGCCCGTTGTATTGGGTTCCTTGCGAATGATTCCCTCATGATTTCCACTACCTCAACTATGGACGATTAGTTGAAAATATCGACAATTATCGCACTATCATTGGCGCGAGTGAAGCGAGTGAAGAGAAGAAGAAGGAGAGCGACACACACGCCACACACACCACACACCACACCACCACACACCACACCACACACCACACCACACACCACGCCACCACACACCACACACGACCCGCTCATCAAGCACCAAAGCTGCCACAACGACAAACAAACATGGCTGAGACCGGGGCGGTGGTAGCGCCGAGCACGACGCTTTCCAGTAGCACGGAAGCTGCTCCAACAGAGGAGAGAGCACACCAACACGACACAAGCACAGCAGCCATGCTACAACAAAACACACAGCAACAACATGCACACGAAGAACAACAACAGCAACAAGCTGGAGCACAGAAGGATGGAGCACAGGAGCAAGAAGGAGGGCAGGAGCAAGATGAGGCGCAAGAAGTAGTCCATGCACAAGACGCACAACAACAACAACAACAGCAGCAGCAACAACAACAACAGCAAGAGGGACAATCGTCCTCAACCTCAGCCTCAACCTCAGCCTCAGCCTCAGCCTCGTCGTCATCTGCATCAGCGTCAGCGCGTGCCTCTCCAACGAGCGAGTCACAAACACCGGCAACCGGTGCTACCACTGCTCCATCAACCGCCGCAGCCAGCAATGGCGAATCCGCGGACGGAGATACCGAAACCGCCGCCACGACCACCGCCACCGCCACCGCCACCTTGCCTGCGAAGGCCCAGCAGCGCTCACGCGCAAAGCCAAAGCCCAGGACGACCGCAAGAGCACGGCAGAAGCCTGCCGCCTCAAGATCAAGGGCCAAGCCGAAGCCCCGGTCTCGCGCGAGATCCGCCAAGCCCAAGGAGGCCGCAACCGTGGCTGCACCCACAGGCAGCCAAGGAGCAAAGACCGTGGCCAAGGCCAATGCCAAGGCCAAGCGGGGGTCAGCAAAGGCCAAGCGCGGCTCCAACAGCAGATCTTCGGCGTCCTCTCGGCGCAACACCGGAGGTGGAAAGTCTGGCAGCAAGGTCAAGGTTGAGGAGGAGGAGGACGACGACGACGATGATGATGCTGACGCCACAGATGATAAGGAGCAAGAAGAGGAAGAGGAAGAACAAGTGCCGCTGGACATTGACACCGTTGAGCCCTTTGTTGTCGACGCCCTCGCAGACGTACGTACATGGTTGTGTGTGCGCGTGTGTCTGTGTCTGTGTGAACGTCCGTGTATCTGCGTCTGCGTCTGTGTCTGTGTCTGTACGTGTCTGCGTCTGTGTGTGTGTGTGTGTGTGCGTCTGTGCGTATGTGTATTCATACATCCGCAGCCAAGCATTCACCCTTCAAAAAGCACACCTGCTTTCCCTTTCCTCGCATCTCACGTGTGCACGCTGCTCCGTACCCCCTTCCATCCGCCATTGCCCAACACAGGCGATGCAAGACGACATTAACGACAAGCTCGTGAATCTGATGCACGGGCTGCGCCGAAAGCTGCAAAACGCCGCCAACCGCTGCAACCGCCTCCACAAGACAAGCTACCTCGCCCCAGAGTACGTTGCACGCCCTGTGTGCTCTGCGCTGTGTGTGTGTGTGTGTTTGTGAGTGTGTGAGTGTGTGTGTGTGTTTGCTCTGTGTGTGTGTGTTTGTGAGTGTGTGTGTGTTTGCTCTGTGTGTGTGTGTGTGTCCCTGTGCTTGTTCTTGGGCTCTGTGCTTGTTCTTGGGCTCTGTGTTTCCGTTTGTTCCAACTGCTCACGAGCACATGCACACGCTCACGTCAACCCTCTGCCGGATTTCACCACACGCGCGCAGCATTGAGGCGGTGATTATGGAGTGTTTTGACCGCACCAAGACTGACCTCCGCGACTGCAAATGGGACAGGTTCGCTCGCTTGCTCACTCGTGTGTGTATGTGTGTGTGTGTGTGTCTGTGTGTATGTGTTTGTGTGTGTCTGTGTCTGTGTCTGTGTGTGTCTGTGTGTGTGTGTGCGGTTCCGTTTACCTCTGTGGTCAACACACACGCCCTGCCGCACATCCGCTCCTCCCCCACCCTCACATCATCCCCACTGACACCACCACCACCACCATCCTGACGCCAGGCCGCCGACACCTCCGCCACGGCTCAAGTCGCGGCAGGTGACAGCGGCGGCAGCAGCAAACGCAGCCGTCTGCTTCGCCAACGCACCGTCGTCATCGTCATCCCCACCATCATCGCCATCATCGTCGTCGTCGTTGTCGTCGTCAGGCAAGAGCAAGAGCAAGACTGCCGCGGCCAAGAGGAAGCGGCCCTCCTCCTCATCAGCAGCATCATCAGCAAAGCCAGGCGCTGGTGCTGGTGGTGGTGATAGTGGTGCCAAGGCGAAAGGAAAGGCCAGAGCAAAGGCTGCCAAGCCACGATCACGTGCATCGAAAGCCAAGCAGACTGACCAAGACCAGCCGCAGAAGCAAGCGAGGAAGCCACGCAAGAGCACACCTAAGGCTTCAGCAGCAGCAGCAGCAGCAGCAGTATTGAAGGGGGAAGGGAAGCAGGAGGTGGTGGCGCGGCGGGCGGCAAAGGCGCGGCCGGGCGGAGCGAAGCCAATCGCACGCGGCCGCAGCAAAGCAGCAAAGGCACGCGCAGCAGCAGCGGCGGCAACAGTAAAGCAGGAGGTGAAGGGTGGTGAGACGAAAGGTGTTGAGATGAAAACAGTTGAGGTGAAGGGTGGTGACAAGACTCAGCCACCAGCAACTTCGTCGTTGTTGTTGTCACCATCATCAACACCATCGCCATCATCAGCCCCAACTTCAGCAGCAGACGCAACACATACAGGAGAGGCAGCAGATGTCACACCAGGAGACGCTGGCGTGGAGGTCAAGAAGCCAAAGCACACGGCCGTTGCCGCCAAGAATGAAGTCGCCGGCACTGCTACCACGCACAGACCTGCCGCAATGACGCTGCTGCTGGCATCCTCCCTCTCGTGTGGCGGCGGCGATGCTGATGGCGACGGTGAACCGGGAACGAAGCGAGCAAAGACAAGCGCGCAAGCCAGTACCATCAGCGACAATAACAACAACAACGACGACGACAACGACAGCAGCAATACTGGTCCAGAGCCTGGTGTTCCCATACCTGCAACAGCGCCTACAAGCAGCGCGTTGGCAGTGAGCACAACTGCGCCCGCACGGCAGATGCTTCCGTCCACGGCATCCACGCCGCCACGATCGCCATCGCTCGCTTCGCAAGGCGACAGTGCACCAGCAGATGCACCAATAGATGCACCAGCACACACGGCAATCACGGCCGACTCGGCTGCTGTCGCCGCCACCACCACAGCAACAACAACATCATCATCATCATCATCAACAACAACAACAACAACAACAACAACATCAACACAACCGCCAGCGCCAGCAGCAGCAGCACGTGTGCCCGAGCCTCTGGCGGTGGCTGCTGTCAAGGCCATGCCATCTCTGCCATCAAGCTCTTGACACAGAGCAAGCAAGGCATGATATCCTGTACACGAACCAAAGCCGAGCTATCACTTCATCGCTATTTACTCTTTGCGTCCCTGTGCGTGTGTGTGTCTGTGTGTGTCTGTGTGTCTGTGTGTGTGTGTGTCTGTGTGTGTGTTTGTGGTTGGTTGGTTGGTTGGTTGGTGTCGCTTCCTGTTTCGCTGTGCATGACTCCATCGCTGTGTATCCTTGTTGTCTGCTTTTGCTTCTAATCGTGTCATGTGAGAACTAATTTAAGTGTACTGCAAGTACGTGAGGCACCATATGTGAGCACACGCAGGCATCTCATGTGATGTGTCTTGTGAGTGGGCACCGCACCACACGCAGAGTGAGTGAGCTCGTGTCAGTGGCAGCAGCAGCAAAAAGTCACATCATGTACACATACCCACACGACCACCAGAAATGATTCGATGGGCATTTATGCGTGTGCACGAGGTTGATGAAGACGAACCAGAACAACCAACAACCAACCACGCCGCGTGTCTCTCGTTCAGCAGTCCCCCTTCCTCCCCATGCTCCAATGCGTGCTGCACTGAGCAGTGCAGGCAAGCGTGCGTTCCTCTTCTTCCCGATCTACCGAAGCACAGCTTTTCGCGCTGGTGTCGTTGCGCGTCGCACAGCGCCATCTTGTCAGCCCGTGGTGGCACTGCCGACAACAACCGCTTCCTCGCACACGCCAACCGTCTCAAACACTCACCACCACCGTAACTTATCAGCACCAAGAACCACGACAAGAACCACGACAAGAGCCACAACACCTTCAGCACTAGCAGGCGTAACATTATCACCCATCCAACAGTCCACCATGTCCGACACCAACAGCATTAGCAGCAGCACAGCCACAGCGTCCATCTGGACGCGCAGGCGCAGGAGGAACAAGAAGAAGAGTGGCACCTCCCTGGCCGCGGGTGACGCTGATGGCACCGCGACCGCCGCCTCCTCCAAGCCGCAGCCGCGGCTGGACACTGCGCCCACCATCACCCTGCCACCAGACTTCTTTGCGGCGCGTGGCATCTCCGTGCGAAAAGAGACGGTGCACCTGCACGACTACGAGAGCATCATCACTGGGGACGGGGGAATCCCGCGCAACAAGCGCGCAAAGATCTCCCACATTGGCACGGCAACAGCGCCATCCTCTCCGCTGGTCGCCCTCAGCCCCATCATGTCCCCGCTCCATGTGCAAGCCAGGCGCACAGCACGCCGTGCCATGTCCACGTGCGCATCAGCCCCATCCTCGTCCGCCTCCTCGTCTTCGTCTCGCTCAACCACGCCGCCAACACCATCTCCGGGCACCGCCACCGCCACCGCCGCCGCCGCAATGGACAGCAGCGCCAACAACAACACCAGCGACCATGGCGAGGACGACTCCGACAGTGACAGTGACAGCGACAGCAATGGTGTGGCTGATACAGGTGCTGCACAGCAGCAGTACGGCACCACTCCGCCCCACAACCACCACCACCACCACCATAACCGCCGCCGCCGCCACCACCACCACCATAACCGCCCGAACATCTTCCAGGACCCGACGCGGCGGGTGTTTGCGCTCGACTGCGAGATGGTTGGCACGCGGTACACGAGCGCGCTGGGCCGCATCAGCATTGTGGACGAGCAGTGCAACGTGGTGCTGGACGAACTGGTGCTGCCAATGCAGGTGATCCACGACTTCCGCACGCGCTACTCCGGCCTGACGCGGCGGCACATGCGACAGGCGCAGCCGTGGGAGGCGATCAAGGCAAAGGTGGAGGCCCTGCTGCAGGGCGCCATCGTCATCGGCCACGACGTCAAGAACGACTTTGAGGTGATGCACATCCACCCGCTGCGGGTGCGGGCGGCCATATGGGACACGAGCGACGTGCCCGCGCTGCGTGCCGCTGCTGGTCTGCCCGTGACGAAACGGCCAAAGCTCAAGGCACTGTCAGCTGCACTGTTGGGCGTCGATATCCAGACATCAAACCAGGGGCACAGCAGTGTCGAGGACGCACAGGTGCGTACGTGTGTGTGTGTGTGTGTGTTTGCGTTTGCATGTGTGTACGTGTGTGTACGTGTGTGTACGTGTGTGCATGTATTTGCTTATGCATGTGTTGTATTTGCGTGTGCATGTGTGTGTGTGTTTCTATGTGTGCTTCACTGGGTTTGGCTTGTTCCTTATCCACCTGCACTGCGTTTGGCTTGTTCCTTATCCATCTGCACTGCGTTTGGCTTGTTCCTTATCCACCTGCCTGATGGCTCCTGACTCCACCCCACTTTAAACACCCCAACTCCACCCCCTCCTCTTACGCAATACAACTGCGTTTTCAGGCGTGCATGCGCCTGTTCCTCAAGTACCGTGCAGCCGCATATGAGCCGCACGGGTGGACTGTGGAGCCATGGTACTTCCACCGCCTCGCTCTCTCGCGCCTCGACAGACACACGCGCGCGCTGACAACTGGCGGCGTTGCTGCCACCTTCCTCGCCGCTGAGGCCCTCAGGCGTGGCTGGGACGTCACAGTCACCACAGCATCCTCGGACGGAGGAGCAAGCACCGCTACCGTTGCCACCACCCCAGCCATCACCGCACGTGGTGGCAGCGGTGTCGCACCAGCACCAGCACCAGCACCATCAGCAGCAGTAGCTGATGACGACGGCGGGGCAGGCGTCGACATTGAGGTGCACGAGCAGGTGTTCCACCTCAGGCGGCCATCACGCGCGCAGCCAACCCGCCACCGTCACCACAGCTATCATCATCAGCGGCAACAACAACAACAACAACAACAGCAGCAGCAGAAGGGGGCGGCAACAGCAGGGGGCAATGCAACAATTGTGATCAGCGATGATGATGACGATGCTGATGACGATGCAGCAACAGGAGCAGCAAGCACGGGAGGCCGAAGCGTTGCGAGCACCACAGCACCAGTGCCATCAAGACAAGCAACGGCCCCTGCACGTGTGCATGTGCGTTTGCACCCCCACCGGCTGGCGCGGCGACGGGTGAAGCGATGCGAAGTGACGCTGCAACTGCACGACGCCGTCAGCACACGCATCAAGGCCACCATCACCGCCACCTCCACCACCATCAAGACCACCACCACCACCAACGCCACCGGCCACAGCAGCCGGCACGTGCATGTTGGCAGAGGAGGGGTGGCTGTTGCAGTTGAGGCGACACCGCCCCTGACGCCGCTGCCAGGGAGCGCGGCAGCATCGGCAATGGTGTCTGGGGAGGCCACCCCGAAGCACGCGGCGCAGGGTGCAGCCGTGACGACAAGCAAGGGCGGGTCGTTCTGGAACAGGCTGACCACCGCCCTCATTGGCCAGCAGGGGCGCACACGTGGCGGTCGCAGTGTGGCAACCACGCAACAGCAGCAGCAGGAGGAAGAGGACGAGGCGGAGGTGACGGTGCGGGAAGCGGTGGACGTGGCGAGTGATGCGATTGTGCAGCACCTTGTTGCGTCTGGGCTGCTGTGCGGCGATACGCAGCAGGCCTTCCACGCCCTCCACGCCGCCATGCAGACGGCAGGCGGTGTCGACAGTGACGATGACGATGACAATGACGATGATGATGATGATGACGATGCTGAGGATGTTGATGAGGATGATGATGACGACAGCAGCGAGGGGGATGGTGACGAGGTGCGCGGGCGGGTGTCGGCGCGACGGGCATATGTGGTGCAGCAGGCTGGGCATCACACGCCGCTGTGGACGCAGGTGCTCAAGTCGATGGCAGACGCGTATCAAGCACAGCTCGATGTCACGTACCGCCAAGGCACAGCAACACCAGCCCCTGTGCTTGCGCGGGAGGGGGTAAGTACCGGATGCGCTGATGGCGGTGGCGGCCGTATCGGCGTTGAGTCAGATACGGATCCAGACGCGAGGAAGACGGGGCCGATGGATGATGCAGCGTCATCCACGCCGGCCGAGACAGATGACGGTGCCATGGGGGCTGGGCGGCCCGTGTTCATCGCGCGAATTGCGATGGAGGATCACCTATTCCCTGTGGTGGTGGAGGGCGAGGGCTCGAGCAAGAAGCAGGCGAAGCGTGCGGCGTGTGCGCTGGCGGTGCTGACGATGCTCAAGGCGGAGAAGTCCCTGGCACAGGAAGTTGCCCACCACTGCGTGCTTGCGCTGCCAAGCATGCTGCAGGCCGGACATCACGTTCACCCCGATGCCGCTGAGCGCCACATCCACGCGGCGATTGCGCCCGTGCTGGGCCAGCGCATTGCACGCCTGGTCTCCCGCGCTTACAGGGCGAAGTACGAGCAGAAGCACGGCGCTCACTCTTGATGCGCGTTTCGTTTGTATGTGTGTGTCTGTATGTGGGTGTGGGTGTTTCTGTGGGTGTGCGTGTGTGTGGGTGTGTCTGTTTCTGTGTGTGTCTGTATGTGGGTGTGTCTGTCTGTCTGTCTGTCTGTCTGTCTGTCTGTCTGTGTGTGTGTGTCTGTGTCTGTGTCTGTGTCTGTGTATCTGTTCACTCTTCACCCCCTGCAACGCATGCGACCCCCTTCCACTTGCTGCGACTCCCTCCAGTGACGTTGGCTACGGCTCGCCTTGTCTTGACATATAAACGACTCTTGCTGACGCGCCATAGCTGTGTGCTACTGCACATAGGAACACAGAGAGAGGGGGGGCAGGAGAGGCGCAAGTGTGCAGACACACGCACACACACAAAAGACACACACACACCAAACACACACACACACACACACACACACACACACACACACACACACACACACACACATTCGGCTTTTCATGAATGATATGTGATAATTTTCCACCGATAGGAGATGGAGCGTGCGTCGTTGTTTGCGGTGGTGCTGTGCGCTCTGGCTTGCAGAGCTGCGCTTGCTGTGGACATCCCCGAAGGTACGATTGAGAGACGTGTTGGGTTGTCGTCGAAGGTGGAGGGAGGTGTGCCATTGTGTGTGTCGGGGGATCCACCGTTGTGTCAGCTCCTGCTATCGGTCATCGGTTGCTTCGTATTTGTGTTTCGGTGGGAGGACTGCTTTTTGTTTGCGTTTGTTTACAATTGGTGGCCTTGTCTCGTGCCCCTGATGTGTTGTTGCACGTTGCTACGCCCTGCGTGTCTTGCTGGTTCGCTGATCGCCGATTAGGATGCCAGAGCTGCTCAAAGTCAAGCCCTTGCTACAAGTCTGGCGGGTGCTATCCTCGCATTCGTGAGTTAACGCGTGTCTGCGACAGCAGCGTTGTTGCCTTGCGCATGCGTCAACTGCGATTGCTCGATCGCGTCACCCGTCTTCCCTGCTGAGCATGCTCTGCTGCTGGGTGTCCACGCTTGTGTGTTCTGCTCTTTCCTGAGCTCACATTGCCTTTGGTGTTTGACAACAGTCGGCACAAACCCGATGGCATGTGGCGTGGGCCATTTCGATTGCCTGGATGTTGGTCGAACCGCCGATAAGTTTCCCTTCTGTGCCGGCTGCCAACTTGTCTACCAAGGAGGTGTGGCTGTGTGTGTATGTGCCTGTGTGTGTGTGTGTGTGTGTGTGTGTTTGTCTATCTGTCTGTGTCTGTGTGTATGTATTTTGCCTCTGTAGTTTTATCTCTCTCTCTCGCCAGGTTTATCTGCCTGTCTTTGCGTGCGAGCAGCAATCCATCAGCATCGCATGCAAACTGTTATGTTGTGATCGCTCACCGCCATACACACCCCACTACGCCTTGACGTTGCAGGTTCCGTTGAAAGCAATGGCGCCGTCTCACAGGGCCGCTGCCGGCACGCCGCCGTCTCAAGCGTGAGTTGCCGCTGTGGATGTGCGAATTTGTGCGCCTCCACATGCGCTTTCACATGCGCGGCGTGCTTTGTACATCTGTGTCTCATATGCATATCTCACACACGTCGCCCGCTTGTTGACGCTACTCGCGTTGTCGCTGTCGCCACTCGCCAACCAGCTATGCTTTTCGTGGGATTTTTCCCTGAACACATGCTTCTCTGGCACGAAACCTTGCTTGAGCAACAGTGCACAGCTTGGAGGTTGTGTGTGTGTGTGTGTGTGTGTGTGTGTGTGTGTGTGTGTGTGTGTGTGTGTGTGTGTGTGTGTGTGCGTGTGTGTGGTGACTGCCTTGCTGCTTGTGCGCGCTTGTGATCATGTGCTATCGCCGTTTGCTTCATGCGGTGCACTTGTCAACTGCTCACACGCAAACATCTGCTTGGCTTTGTTGGCTTGGCAGGTTGGCGACACAATTCGCTGGACAGTCGTGGGCACCAAACCCCAGACCATCCACTCGCCCCCTAACTCCGAAGGGTTCTACTCAATCGGGTACGCGCACGGACGTGTGTGTGTGTGTGTGTGTGTGTGTGTGTGTGTGTGTGTGTGTGTGTGTGTGTGTGTGTGCATGAGTATCCGTGTACACGTGGCCTCCGCCCGTTTCTGCAGTGCCTGACGGTGTGTTTGTCGAGACGCATTTGCGTACACGGCCCCACCCATCGCTGCTCCTGCCGCCCCATTTGCGTGTGCCGCTGCGTCCACCTCACACACGCGTGGTTTATCGATGGCACCACAGGTCTGGCAAGCTGCCGCCGGGCGCCACGTTCTACTACACGTTCAAGGAGGAGGGCACGTTCACGTACATGTCGCGGTTGACTGCCGGCCTCGACGGAACAGTGATTGTGACGGATGGCACCACCAGCGCAGCAGCAACAACAGAAGCGGCAACCACCAGCGCAGCAGCAACAACAGAAGCGGCAACCACCAGCGCAGCAGCAACAACAGAAGCGGCAACCACCAGCGCAGCAGCAACAACAGAAGCAGCAACCACCAGCGCAGCAGCAACAACAGAAGCAGCAACCACCAGCGCAGCAGCAACAACAGAAGCAGCAACCACCAGCGCAGCAGCAACAACAGAAGCAGCAACCACCAGCGCAGCAGCAACAACAGAAGCAGCAACCACCAGCGCAGCAGCAACAACAGAAGCAGCAACCACCAGCGCAGCAGCAACAACAGAAGCAGCAACCACCAGCGCAGCAGCAACAACAGAAGCAGCAACCACCAGCGCAGCAGCAACAACAGAAGCAGCAACCACCAGCGCAGCAGCAACAACAGAAGCAGCAACCACCAGCGCAGCAGCAACAACAGAAGCAGCAACCACCAGCGCAGCGGCAACAACGACAACAACGACATCATCATCTTCATCGACAACAACAACGACGACGACAATCCTCACGTCTGCACCAACAACAACAACAACAACAACAACCACAACAACAACAATCACCGCCACCGCTCTCCCAGCACCCCCCTTTCTGCCATCTACATCCTCCACCACCACCACCACCACAACAACAACAACAACAACAACAACAACAACAACAACAACAACAACAACAACAACAACAACAACAACAACAACAACAACAACAACAACAACAACAACAGCCCCTGCTCGCCCCGGCAAGCGCCCTCCGCCTCCGCCCACGTCGTCGTCGTCGTCGACATCTGTACCGGTGACCATCGGCGCTCCCCAGCGGTCTGCATCCGTGGACGCCGCATCCGTCGCAGGCAGCGCTGTCGGCGGTCTCGCAGGTACACGCACACGCGCACACGCACACACACACACACACACA